CCCCAAAACCCCAAAACCCCAAAACCCCTTAAGTGAAAATTAAGCACATTTGGTATATTAAAGAATGAGAATACCAGATATTGTGATCATTATAAATAAAAGTATTAAATATGATATAAGACGATGTTGTATGGAGGGTCATAAATCATGGCCATTGTTCATTTAAATCAAAGTAAGTTTAACTTTACATTTCAAATCCATAAGTTTAATAAAGTTGAGGGCTTGTTTCTTCTATTTTGATTATTTCATTCAGTGTAATTAACTATTGAGTATAGAACTGTGACTTAGACTTTCTGCAGAAATGAGTATAATCTAACTGGACTTTGTAATAGACATTCATGTCCCTTGGCTAATAGTAGATATGCTACTGTATTAGAGAACAAAGGACAATGTTATCTATATATGAAGACTATTGAAAGAGCTCATCTACCAAGTAAACTCTGGGAAAAGGTTAAACTGCCTAAAAATTATCAAAAGGCACTGGAGATGGTCGATGAGAATTTAGAGTTCTGGTCAAAGTTCCAAAGACATAAATGCAAGCAAAGACTTACAAAGCTATATCAAATGATAATAAGACAAAGAAAGTTACGTATTAGTAGTATGCATACATAAGAAAAATTAGTGACGATCAACAAGAAATATGAAAAAAGAGAAGCTAATAGAGAAAAGGCTGCTGAGAAAGCTGCTATGGTAGACAGAGCTATTGAGAAGGAGCTTGTCACAAGACTTAAGAGTGGGACCTTTTATCCATAGGAAATCTATAATCTTAATAAAGAAGAGTTTGAAGAAGTCCTTGATAAGAATGAGGTGCCTTAGTATGAGATTGATGAAGATGAGGAAGAGGAAGAAGAAGAAAACGAAGAGGAATATGAGTATGACTCTGAATTAGACGATGATGAATTGAAAATGCTAGAAGATGAGGAGGAAAAAGATGAAGATGATATCGAAGAAATGGGACTCTATGATGATGGTGAATAAGGAGGTCTATCAAAGAAGGGAATCAATAAAAAATAAGTAGGCTAGAAAAGGCCTAAAGTTCAAATAGATTATGAGGATGAAGATAATTTGGAATACGAATTTGAAGAGGACATTGCCCCAAAGAAGAAACTAACAAATGAACTTATAAAAGATAGAGGCAATAAAAGATAGAAAACAGGGAAAAATTCAAGAGCTTCATTTGGAGGTAAAGGTGGCACTGTTGATTTTTGATTTATTTGATTTCCTCCTTGCTTCAATTCTTTCAGAAGCTTATTTATTAATTAAGAACAATAATATCTTAACTTTCTTATATTTAGAGCTTGGTTGAATTATTAAATGAAACATAATAACTTATATTAATCAATGCTTCTTTGGAGTGAGCAGGTTATTTGAACTAACTCTCCTGTCTTCAATTAATGGTCTTTTACTGTTTGAACTTCTTAGCCTGTCTCTTGGAGTTGCATTATCACTGTGATTTGCTGCCAGCTAACTAGAAAAATCTTACCCATCAACCTTTAATTTTCCAGTTAATACATCGTAGAGTTGAGACTTTCTTTACCCTTCGCCTTCTTTCGCAAAAATTTCTTCTAATTGCTCTCCTTTGTTCATTAGAAGATCATTAAGTTTCTTAGCCATCTTATGTTGGTCTCTATCATATTTGTAGATCAAGAATGGCTTTAATTTTTCTGCATCAAATTTCTTGACCCATTCAACACATCTTCCTTTCTTTTTCCTCGCTGGATCATTTTGGTTCTGCTCTCCTGGAGATTTAAGCGCAAGTGCAATATCGTCGAAATTTGGATGTTCAACTATTTCGTGGTGGCTATGGTTGATATCTTCCCCTTCTAGTACATTCTTTGCTTCGTGCTCAAATCCAGCTTTCTTTAGAGCTGCAGCTGCTTCTTACTCTTTTCCAAATAAGAACTATTAAACAGTAGCGACAGTTGATCCCAAGAAAATGGTTGTGAAGACTACTAGACCTAAAGCTGTTGTTACTATTACAGATTTATTTGTCACACTCTTATCAATTCTTAGTACTAGACCAAATGCTACTGCTCCTCTGATAGTTCCAGCATAAGATATGAAAACAAGATCTTTAAATCTGATTCCAGACTTGTATCTGCAAAGTCTAAAGATTGAGTTTAATAATTATATGAAATATTTACTCTAATGTTTTAATGATGCCAATAGTTCCCATAAATCTTCCAAGAATAACAATAATGACTTCTGCGAAAAATAGTTACCAAGACCATTCAAATTAGATATATGAGAAGAAAGTTAATCCCAGATAACCGAATACAAAGGCTTCAATTGCGTAACCTATCACGTTAAAGGCTAGCGATGTAACTTGTTTAGCTTATGGGGACAAATTGTACCAAGAGTACTTTGACATCAATATACCTGAGGCTAGGAGAGAAATGATTCCTGAAAAATGGAAGAGCTCAGCGATGCAATATGAAAGGTACCCAAAACAAAAAATCAAGGTACATTCAACTACTGGCTTTACTGTTAAAAATCTAAAGAATTTTGTAACGATAGCGCTAAGGAATGCTAGGGCTATTCCGAAAAATATAGACCAGAAACTCAATCTCAAGAAACTATATAGAATCAGCAAAGGCGTAGTTTCTGTGAATTCACTATCTGGACCAGCAAATTCCATTACAGTATTGAAAAGAATAATACATACTGCATCATTAGTGATACCCTCTCCAAATACCAAACTAAATAACTTAGGTTATTCCTCGTATTTAATGATAGAAATAGCAGCTACCACATCAGTGCAACATAGTAGTGAGCACATTAGTAAAATCTCCATTATAGATAACTCAAATTATTCATATTGGCCTGTCTATCCATTGTATTTCCACATTATATCGAACTGCATCACAATGTAAGTGAAAATTGAGAATATTGTGAACTACACTATAGTACCAAACAGACCAAATATCAAAATATTTGCAAAGTTTTCAAAGAACTTCTTTCTTTTCATGTTATAACCTGATGCAAAGACAATGGGAGGCAAACAAAAGTAAAAGAAAAAGTTCTCATCGAATGCTAAACTGTGATTTATCTCGTGATGTCCTGATGCATAGGCTATGAAAGAAAGCATCATTCCAAATAAAATGACTAAACTGGCTTCATGACCTACTTTGCAGTGGTATTTCTCTAGTACTGATCCAATGAACATGTAAAATAGTAGAACAGACATTATAATGACTGCTCCTGCGCTAAATAGTGAAGATGACATAATTTTATGGTCGTTTATCTTAAGCCTCCGGTTAGCTACTCTATTTAAGAGCAATGTTAAATTTAAATTATAATTTGCACTTTTTTTATTTAAATCTTCTCTATCAATCTTATTAATGTGCCAAGAAGGGGTTTTGGGGTTTTGGGGTTTTGGGG